GGTTTACAATCTACTGTATCACAACGATGTGGTTTACAATCTACTGTATCACTGATGTGGTTTACAATCTACTGTATCACTGATGTGGTTTACAATCTACTGTATCACAACGATGTGGTTTACAATCTACTGTATCACAACGATGTGGTTTACAATCTACTGTATCACAACGATGTGGTTTACAATCTACTGTATCACTGATGTGGTTTACAATCTACTGTATCACAACGATGTGGTTTACAATCTACTGTATCACAACGATGTGGTTTACAATCTACTGTATCACAACGATGTGGTTTACAATCTACTGTATCACAACGATGTGGTTTACAATCTACTGTATCACAACGATGTGGTTTACAATCTACTGTATCACAACGATGTGGTTTACAATCTACTGTATCACAACGATGTGGTTTACAATCTACTGTATCACTGATGTGGTTTACAATCTACTTTATTACTGATGTGGTTTACAATCTACAGTATCACTGATGTGGTTTACAATCTACTGTATCACAACGATGTGGTTTACAATCTACTGTATCACAACGATGTGGTTTACAATCTACTGTATCACAACGATGTGGTTTACAATCTACAGAATCACTGATGTGGTTTACAATCTACTGTATCACTGATGTGGTTTACAATCTACTGTATCACTGATGTGGTTTACAATCTACTGTATCACTGATGTGGTTTACAATCTACTGTATCACAACGATGTGGTTTACAATCTACTGTATCACTGATGTGGTTTACAATCTACTGTATCACAACGATGTGGTTTACAATCTACTGTATCACTGATGTGGTTTACAATCTACTTTATTACTGATGTGGTTTACAATCTACTGTATCACTGATGTGGTTTACAATCTACTGTATCACTGATGCGGTTTACAATCTACTCTATCACTGATGTGGTTTACAATCTACTGTATCACTGATGTGGTTTACAATCTACTGTATCACAACGATGTGGTTTACAATCTACTGTATCACAACGATGTGGTTTACAATCTACTGTATCACTGATGTGGTTTACAATCTACTGTATCACAACGATATGGTTTACAATCTACTCTATCACTGATGTGGTTTACAATCTACTGTATCACTGATGTGGTTTACAATCTACTGTATCACTGATGCGGTTTACAATCTACTGTATCACTGATGTGGTTTACAATCTACTGTATCACAACGATGTGGTTTACAATCTACTGTATCACTGATGCGGTTTACAATCTACTCTATCACTGATGTGGTTTACAATCTACTGTATCACAACGATGTGGTTTACAATCTACTGTATCACTGATGTGGTTTACAATCTACTGTATCACAACGATGTGGTTTACAATCTACTGTATCACTGATGTGGTTTACAATCTACTGTATCACTGATGTGGTTTACAATCTACTGTATCACAACGATGTGGTTTACAATCTACTGTATCACAACGATGTGGTTTACAATCTACTGTATCACTGATGTGGTTTACAATCTACTGTATCACTGATGTGGTTTACAATCTACTGTATCACTGATGTGGTTTACAATCTACTGTATCACAACGATGTGGTTTACAATCTACTGTATCACAACGATGTGGTTTACAATCTACTGTATCACTGATGTGGTTTACAATCTACTGTATCACAACGATGTGGTTTACAATCTACTGTATCACTGATGTGGTTTACAATCTACTTTATTACTGATGTGGTTTACAATCTACTGTATCACTGATGTGGTTTACAATCTACTGTATCACTGATGCGGTTTACAATCTACTCTATCACTGATGTGGTTTACAATCTACTGTATCACTGATGTGGTTTACAATCTACTGTATCACTGATGTGGTTTACAATCTACTGTATCACTGATGTGGTTTACAATCTACTCTATCACTGATGTGGTTTACAATCTACTGTATCACAACGATGTGGTTTACAATCTACTGTATCACAACGATGTGGTTTACAATCTACTGTATCACAACAATGTGGTTTACAATCTACTGTATCACTGATGCGGTTTACAATCTACTGTATCACTGATGTGGTTTACAATCTACTGTATCACTGATGTGGTTTACAATCTACTGTATCACTGATGCGGTTTACAATCTACTGTATCACTGATGTGGTTTACAATCTACTGTATCACTGATGTGGTTTACAATCTACTGTATCACAACGATGTGGTTTACAATCTACTGTATCACTGATGTGGTTTACAATCTACTGTATCACAACGATGTGGTTTACAATCTACTGTATCACTGATGTGGTTTACAATCTACAGAATCACTGATGTGGTTTACAATCTACTGTATCACTGATGTGGTTTACAATCTACTGTATCACTGATGCGGTTTACAATCTACTGTATCACTGATGTGGTTTACAATCTACTGTATCACTGATGTGGTTTACAATCTACTGTATCACTGATGTGGTTTACAATCTACTGTATCACTGATGTGGTTTACAATCTACTGTATCACTGATGCGGTTTACAATCTACTGTATCACTGATGTGGTTTACAATCTACTGTATCACTGATGTGGTTTACAATCTACTGTATCACAACGATGTGGTTTACAATCTACTGTATCACTGATGTGGTTTACAATCTACTGTATCACAACGATGTGGTTTACAATCTACTGTATCACTGATGTGGTTTACAATCTACAGAATCACTGATGTGGTTTACAATCTACTGTATCACTGATGTGGTTTACAATCTACTGTATCACAACGATGTGGTTTACAATCTACTGTATCACTGATGTGGTTTACAATCTACTGTATCACAACGATGTGGTTTACAATCTACTGTATCACTGATGTGGTTTACAATCTACAGAATCACTGATGTGGTTTACAATCTACTGTATCACTGATGTGGTTTACAATCTACTGTATCACAACGATGTGGTTTACAATCTACTGTATCACTGATGTGGTTTACAATCTACTGTATCACAACGATGTGGTTTACAATCTACTGTATCACTGATGTGGTTTACAATCTACTTTATTACTGATGTGGTTTACAATCTACTGTATCACTGATGTGGTTTACAATCTACTGTATCACTGATGCGGTTTACAATCTACTCTATCACTGATGTGGTTTACAATCTACTGTATCACTGATGTGGTTTACAATCTACTGTATCACAACGATGTGGTTTACAATCTACTGTATCACAACGATGTGGTTTACAATCTACTGTATCACTGATGTGGTTTACAATCTACTTTATTACTGATGTGGTTTACAATCTACTGTATCACTGATGTGGTTTACAATCTACTGTATCACTGATGCGGTTTACAATCTACTTTATTACTGATGTGGTTTACAATCTACTGTATTACTGATGTGGTTTACAATCTACTGTATCACAACGATGTGGTTTACAATCTACAGAATCACTGATGTGGTTTACAATCTACTTTATTACTGATGTGGTTTACAATCTACTGTATCACAACAATGTGGTTTACAATCTACTTTATCACAACGATGTGGTTTACAATCTACTGTATCACTGATGCGGTTTACAATCTACTGTATCACTGATGTGGTTTACAATCTACTGTATCACTGATGCGGTTTACAATCTACTCTATCACTGATGTGGTTTACAATCTACAGTATCACAACGATATGGTTTACAATCTACTGTATCACTGATGTGGTTTACAATCTACTGTATCACTGATGTGGTTTACAATCTACAGTATCACTGATGTGGTTTACAATCTACTGTATCACTGATGTGGTTTACAATCTACTGTATCACTGATGTGGTTTACAATCTACAGTATCACAACGATGTGGTTTACAATCTACTGTATCACTGATGTGGTTTACAATCTACTGTATCACTGATGTGGTTTACAATCTACAGTATCACAACGATATGGTTTACAATCTACTGTATCACTGATGTGGTTTACAATCTACTGTATCACTGATGTGGTTTACAATCTACAGTATCACTGATGTGGTTTACAATCTACTGTATCACTGATGTGGTTTACAATCTACTGTATCACTGATGTGGTTTACAATCTACAGTATCACAACGATGTGGTTTACAATCTACTGTATCACTGATGCGGTTTACAATCTACTGTATCACTGATGTGGTTTACAATCTACTGTATCACTGATGCGGTTTACAATCTACTCTATCACTGATGTGGTTTACAATCTACAGTATCACAATGATATGGTTTACAATCTACTGTATCACTGATGTGGTTTACAATCTACTGTATCACTGATGTGGTTTACAATCTACAGTATCACTGATGTGGTTTACAATCTACTGTATCACTGATGTGGTTTACAATCTACTGTATCACTGATGTGGTTTACAATCTACAGTATCACAACGATGTGGTTTACAATCAGCTGTAACATGCTGATGTCTTTTATGTGCAAAAAATAACACTTTAAACCTCAACTTTTAACAGACTTCTGGATCAATAACTATGTGCATTTATCTACAGATATGCCTAATCAGGATAATGACAGAGGACTAGGAGACATAACCATGGCCACTGAGGGGAAAGAATGGCACAGGATGGCACAGTAAGGTTCTTTCCTATCATTACCATAAAGAATCACTGATCACAGGAAACATTTTTTCTTCCTTGTTCAAGGATTTTATTCCATGTATATCATCAGCATTATATAGTCTAGAATTCAGAATGAAGTGATTGTTACACCTTTGTAGTAAACAGCACAAGCTGATTAAGTACAGTACCCTCCCATAAGATCTGATTTATTTTGTGATTACACATTCATCAACACTGAAGCTTTGAAGTAATTAATTACTTATAAAGGTACTAATCATCAAGGTGGATTTTATGACGAGTTCTAAGGAAGGAGAATTAACAGGTGGAACGACTCAAGACAGTGGTCACTATGACAGCGGTCAATATTACTAAGGACTATAACATGGGACAAGAAGATTTTCGATCCACAGTGGAAATAGCGCTTTCTGCAATATTTCTTTTTATATTAATCATAGCATCAGTATTTGGAAATATTGCAGTAATATTGGCAGTCATGCTGAACAGACATTTAAGAGAAGAAAAGTCTAGTTTCCTGATTGTAAACCTGGCTGTAACAGACCTAACTAACGGTTTAATTGTAATCGTTAGTTCATTCTGCTCCGTGATATCTGACCGTTGGATGTTTGGACATGGTTTATGTTCCACCGTATGTGCTATCAACTACTGTCTCATCATCACCTCAATGCTTACACTATGTTTCATCAGTTTTGACCGTTACCAAGCCATTATTCACCCAATGACCTATCCCATGTGGATTAGCAGGAACAAGGTTGGTATTGCCATAGCCTATTCATGGATGCAGGGAATAGTATTTTCTCTGGTTCCTGTAATATTACACTGGATACAATATGATTATTGGGAAGCTGTGTGTGCCATAGAATGGCAGCAGGAGAAAAAGCAAGCCATTTATTATGTAGTTACAGCATTCCTACTTTGTTTTTTCCTACCAGGAATGGCTCTGGTGGTAAACTACTTTCTTGTGGTCCGAGAGGTCAGACGTGCATCAAGAACTTTGCAACCTTTTAATGAATTAAATGCCACAAGGAAATCCAACTACAGCCAAAGTAATAAAGCCGTCAACAGTCTGCTTGTGGTTGTGATGGCCTATTTTGTGTGTATGACACCATTCAGTGTCACCAAACTCATCAAGGTCATCGTCCCAGACACCAGTTTTGTACCAGGGCGTATTAACACCCTGGCTAGTTTGGTTGGGTACTGCTCCAGTGCTGTTAATCCATTAATCTATGGGCTCCTGCGTAAGGATTTTAAGTACTCATACAAACTAATTCTAAAGAAGATTCTGAACCCAATGATGACAATTACGAATGAACTGACAGATCACACAGTGCAGTGATAAAGCTTACATTACAGGTAATCATTACATGTTTGTCAGTATACGCATGGGTCTTTCCATCCACTCAAACGTAGTATATAATATATTTAAACTGATAAATGCAATGTAGAATTGATGAACTCATGGCAAGAAAAAATGTAAGCAATTGAAATCTAGCCACATGTTTCAAGTCTGAACTGAAAATTTAGGATTCCTGATATGCAATGCCATAATTTCTATAAGATTCCTTCCTCCAAGCTCATGAGATGAGTGGACTCTTGGTAGATATTGTCAGTGTACATATGTAAGCTCACAAACATCAAACCTCATCGTCATTGGTGTAAGGTCATATTGCTCACTGTTATTTACAAACTTTTTAAAAAAATCTGTTCAAGTTTCTTTGATGGTTAAAAATTTTAAGAGTTTTAACATGGCCTATTGGTTTCTCTGGTAATGTATGTCTTAAAAGATTTTACATCAGGAAGTGTTTACAAAATATGTTTACCTATGTAAGAGAGATCAGTTTTAGAAATATAAGGTCATCAGATTTCTGTTACTATAGCTAGAACTAAATTAAACAAGGTGCAAACAATATTCTGTTTTACTGAAAGGATGAGAATAATAGATATGTTTGTAGTTGAGTTTTCATTTCCTGTGAGATTTTATGAAAGGAGTCTTAGAACAAAGTTAAGGTTTGCAAAAACTAGAAATTCAAGACAAGTTTCAACAGAACAAAATCTGTAAGTATTGTATGTATGCTTATTTTATATGATAATCTTCATGTCTCTGATGTACCCCTAAAACCTAACCATCCGTGATATCTGTATGACCATGTTGTAAATTGTCTAAATATGTCATTTTTCAATGCATGTATATTTTTTGTTTATCTCGCCCTTGAAAACGGAAAGAAATAAAATACCTAGAATATAACAAATATTGTAAACAACTATGACTATGGGAACAAAATAGAGATAACAACTATTGTTTAGGGATGACCGACAACGAACAGAGGGATATTTGCTCTGATGGTCGTGGGCTAATAATATTATTCACTGACACACAAAAGATAAGCATATCTAGCACACAACTCTGAAATAGGATCACACATTATGTGTATCTTGTAAAAATGGTTAATATAACAGACTGAAAATTCAATGGAAAACTGGTATAGTAATGACTAAATAGCAACCGTAGTCATGTAAGTGTTGATCCATCATTAAGGTCATGGATTTCACACATCAGAAAGTCAGGAGTGGTGTGTCTTAGACAACAAAATCGCCTATATATTGATATTTGATAGCAGGTGACAGGTCTGTACCAGCTAGGGCTACCTAGTAACTAACACATCACTTCTTACCTAAACATATATTTTTTCTGTACAAAATGATTGAAAAATGAGTATAGTACTGAAGGATTGTAAATAAAATTCCTATTTGGATGTTTAAGATTCTGAATGATTTATAGCTGACAACAAAGTCCCTTTTAATGTTTCTATGTATAATGTATATAAAGTGTATCCTGAGAGTGTAGAACTATTTAGTCTATATCTGATAGGTGTTTTGTGTCCAAACTTTAATGGCTAATTAGGAAGTACAGTCAGAACTTGTGATCTCATAATTCAAGGTACCATGACTTATCCAAATTTTGTCTCAAAGTGTCAAATTTTGCTCAGATTTCCTATCATGCAAAAATCTATTCATATCATGTAGACATTGATGCACATAATGCAGACATTGCACACACCATGTTAAGTTATGCTATCTCACAACTGTATGTTTTTATATGTATATATATCCTTATAGACTGTACAGCTAGTATTTGTATTTTTCCCATCAATTAAATAAAACACCGTAACATTGTAAATGTGTTGATGTTTACTATGTGAGAGTATTTAATTGTTATGCAGACACAAGGTAGTCACACAAAGTTGGGCACTATAACCTGTCTAACACTCTCAAGTCTCAACTAAACTAAAGACCGGTATATTTCATAATTATGGCAGTACAAAAGCAAAACCAGTCACATGACAATCACATGACCATGTCATGTGCAGTCAAGAGGCATTCTATGAATTAGTCATAGAAAACCCTATTCATAATTAAACAGACCTACAGCCTCAAAAGAACGATCCAACTGTAGTCAAACAAGGCACCAGAAATGACTGAAATTCCAGCGCTCCCATTTATAATAGAGTTGTGTTGTATTTAAGATTTTCTATAAATAGTAACGATGACCCTGGCATACTAAAAACATGAACTCTTTCAAGGTATTATGACACTTGACCAATATGTGATGTTTGATTAAAATCGTTTGAGAAATGAAGTTGCCAGAAAGATGACAAATACTGAACATGCGTACATATGTATCCTCTCTACGGTCCAAGGGAACAATTCAAAATTATCACTGGACAGAAAACTGTTGGTTTATTGAACTAATAACATGTTTGAACTATCTGCAAATGCAAACTGACTGAAAGTTTACAATAACTTAAAAATTTTGCAATTTAACTGAGACTTACCTCCCCTTTGTCAACTTTCATTCCCTGTCCTTTGTAGGCATACATAGCTTTGACTTGTGGAATTTTTCTAGTTTCTACAACATCTTGAATAACCTCCCTTTCAACAACCTCTTCAACCTCAATTTCATGAGGAACCTCAACCAGTTCTTCTACAAGTTCTTCCTCGTCTGAGTTCTTTCCATTTTCTTGCGGCATGAACTTTTCCGGAGAAATCTGTAAGGAAGAACATAATGTGACATTAACACAATCACATCTTTTTCTTATGAAACAGCCATGCATAACTCAACAGCAAACTAAACTTACACAAAAAAGGATGAACAAGTAATTGTCAACTATAAAATATATTCTGTAGAATTTCATACTAACATTATGTTCACTTGCAGCTTTTGTCATCAACTGAGCTAGTTCATCTAGTCGCATTATTTCAGACTTGAACCCTCGGATTTCTTCTTCCAATCGGTTGTGCCGAGATAACAAAGCCTGAAGAACAGAAAAAGAAGTAATTACTTTCCATTTTAACTAAAACAAAAGTCATGAAATTTATAACTTTTTATGAGATGAAGTGAAACCTTTCTGTTTCTGAAAACAAACTGTTCATACATACTAAGTTTTTGAAAGAAGATCTCTGCTAGAGACACAAACACAATCTGACACATCCTTTAACAAGGTTCAAATTCAAAGGATATTGGTGGTCTACAAAGTATTGAAAACACATCTGTTTCAGCATGGCTTAATACAAAATTCTTGATTAATTGACTGTGATAAATGGCTGATTAAAGGTATTCCAATCAAAAGGTCTAGTGATGGGATGATGATCAGATTTAATTATCTAATCCTTTAGCCATATCTGATTCAATGATCAATTGAAATTTTTCATTAACAATCATACTTACCTCAATACTTTATTATGTTTTTGTAAAACAAAAGTCGAAAAAAAGATGCCAAATGTCAATATTTATTTTTGTGTTATTCTAGGTAAGGGAGGTATTTTATGTCAAAGTGACAATAATATTAATTCTTGTGTTATTCTAGGTAAGGGAGGTATTTTAGATCAAAGTGACAATAATATTAATTCTTGTGTTATTCTAGGTATTCACTGCCACAAAGAAGGAATTCTGTTTCTATGAATATTGAAGGCACAGCAAAGCATTATTTGATCAATTAACTATATCTGAAACCCTATCTGATTTTAACCCACAATCCATTTCTATTGATATTCATCACTATGCTAAACAAAATGCAGTCCTATTTGGGCTGATTTGTCAACCAGTAGCACTTAATTACCAGCTGTGACCTTTACACAACCAAGTGTACTTGATAATTATGGGTGGTACAGGAGTGTTTGATACAGTGGTTATTAGAACTTTCCCAACCATTACAAGATAGAAAAGAACATTTACCTGGGAGTTAGCTTCATCTCTACCATAGTCGTCACTGGTAACGATGGGCATCTTCTCCTTCATCCATGACTCGGCCTCGTTTGCATCAGCATAGTACTGTAACAAAAAGTAACATTAACACAACCATAAAGCCTTTGGATCAAATGTAAGTTAGGAGACCCATCAATTAAATCTTTGATTCACTAGGCCGCGACAAGATAATTTATGAAATAGAATTAAAAACTTCCAAGTCCTAGGGGTGAAATGCCTTCATCATTTTCCTGTATTTTTTACAGACATACAATCCTGTTTAATGACTTATAATAACTCATCACTGCAGCAGATATCTCTGACTAATCAGAACTGTGCTTTCTGTTGGCTGCACTGAAATCAGCAATTTTCAGATGAATATGAGGTAAAGGTTAAGAAAATTTTTGAATAAATAGTTCATCCTCACCTGTACTGGGAATACCAGTTTTTATTTCATTTCAATTCATATCTGTTAACAGTTTTATAAGCAACAACAGTAGAATATTCTATAGAGTACCCAAGTGAAAAATGATAATATTTCATCATCCAAAAACGTCATCTACATTACAACTTATAAGATTATTTTACAAATTCCCATATCTGACACAGTAAATTTTAGATGTAAGGAAAAATCCTATTGAATTTGACATATATTTCACTGATATACCAAAGCTCTCATGTAAAATATCAAAACTGTGTCATATTAGTGAAATATGTAGGATATTCAACAGGAATTGATTTCTTTAATCAATTATGATTACAAATCAGTCCAAATGTAACTCACACAGTTTTTCCAAACTGCATATTGTTAGGAACTGTTTCACATTAGATTTGATTGGGTATATGATAAACTCCACTGATAAAACTTTAATCAACCTTATCACTGAATCAATGAGATTAGCCAATAAAATACAGACAACGAAATGTTGGTAAATCCCACTTTGTTTCCTGATAATGATCTCTGATCATATAAATAAGTTAACAAGTGATAGGCCTAGGTTTACTCCAGGAGTACCTGTAAGTTAACAAGTGATAGGCCTAGGTTTACTCATGGAGTACCTGTAAGTTAACAAGTGATAGGCCTAGGTTTACTCATGGAGTACCTGTAAGTTAACAAGTGATAGGCCTAGGTTTACTCCAGGAGTACCTGTAAGTTAACAAGTTATAGGCCTAGGTTTACTCATGGAGTACCTGTAAGTTAACAAGTGATAGGCCTAGGTTTACTCATGGAGTACCTGTAAGTTAACAAGTGATAGGCCTAGGTTTACTCCAGGAGTACCTGTAAGTTAACAAGTTATAGGCCTAGGTTTACTCATGGAGTACCTGTAAGTTAACAAGTGATAGGCCTAGGTTTACTCATGGAGTACCTGTAAGTTAACAAGTTATAGGCCTAGGTTTACTCATGGAGTACCTGTAAGTTAACAAGTGATAGGCCTAGGTTTACTCCAGGAGTACCTGTAAGTTAACAAGTTATAGGCCTAGGTTTACTCATGGAGTACCTGTAAGTTAACAAGTGATAGGCCTAGGTTTACTCATGGAGTACCTGTAAGTTAACAAGTTATAGGCCTAGGTTTACTCATGGAGTACCTGTAAGTTAACAAGTGATAGGCCTAGGTTTACTCATGGAGTACCTGTAAGTTAACAAGTGATAGGCCTAGGTTTACTCCAGGAGTACCTGTAAGTTAACAAGTGATAGGCCTAGGTTTACTCCAAGAGTACCTGTAAGTTAACAAGTGATAGGCCTAGGTTTACTCCAAGAGTACCTGTAAGTTAACAAGTGATAGGCCTAGGTTTACTCCAAGAGTACCTGTAAGTTAACAAGTGATAGGCCTAGGTTTACTCCAAGAGTACCTGTAAGTTAACAAGTGATAGGCCTAGGTTTACTCATGGAGTACCTGTAAGTTAACAAGTGATAGGCCTAGGTTTACTCCAAGAGTACCTGTAAGTTAACAAGTGATAGGCCTAGGTTTACTCCAAGAGTACCTGTAAGTTAACAAGTGATAGGCCTAGGTTTACTCCAAGAGTACCTGTAAGTTAACAAGTGATAGGCCTAGGTTTACTCATGGAGTACCTGTAAGTTAACAAGTGATAGGCCTAGGTTTACTCCAAGAGTACCTGTAAGTTAACAAGTGATAGGCCTAGGTTTACTCCAAGAGTACCTGTAAGTTAACAAGTGATAGGCCTAGGTTTACTCCAAGAGTACCTGTAAGTTAACAAGTGATAGGCCTAGGTTTACTCATGGAGTACCTGTAAGCTAACAAGTGATAGGCCTAGGTTTACTCATGGAGTACCTGTAAGTTAACAAGTGATAGGCCTAGGTTTACTCATGGAGTACCTGTAAGTTAACAAGTGATAGGCCTAGGTTTACTCCAAGAGTACCTGTAAGTTAACAAGTAATAGGCCTAGGTTTACTCATGGAGTACCTGTAAGTTAACAAGTGATAGGCCTAGGTTTACTCCAAGAGTACCTGTAAGTTAACAAGTTATAGGCCTAGGTTTACTCATGGAGTACCTGTAAGTTAACAAGTGATAGGCCTAGGTTTACTCATGGAGTACCTGTAAGTTAACAAGTGATAGGCCTAGGTTTACTCCAAGAGTACCTGTAAGTTAACAAGTTATAGGCCTAGGTTTACTCATGGAGTACCTGTAAGTTAACAAGTGATAGGCCTAGGTTTACTCATGGAGTACCTGTAAGCTAACAAGTGATAGGCCTAGGTTTACTCATGGAGTACCTGTAAGTTAACAAGTGATAGGCCTAGGTTTACTCCAGGAGTACCTGTAAGTTAACAAGTGATAGGCCTAGGTTTACTCATGGAGTACCTGTAAGTTAACAAGTGATAGGCCTAGGTTTACTCATGGAGTACCTGTAAGTTAACAAGTGATAGGCCTAGGTTTACTCCAAGAGTACCTGTAAGTTAACAAGTGATAGGCCTAGGTTTACTCATGGAGTACCTGTAAGTTAACAAGTGATAGGCCTAGGTTTACTCATGGAGTACCTGTAAGTTAACAAGTGATAGGCCTAGGTTTACTCATGGAGTACCTGATGAGCTTCTATGCCATCTTCTATCTTGGTTTTTTTCAGCGTGGACAATTCCTTGAGTTGTTTCCACTTGTCCATTAAGCTGTTGATCTTGGAGCCAATTTCTGAGCGTGCCTTGTGTCCACTGTTGACCAGGTCTTGACCTACTCCGCACATCTGTTCACAGCGGGGCCATCTTCCATGCATCTCTGCTTCCAGGGCCTGATGACAACAAATGTATTACTATTGGTTACTGTATTTGTGTTTTGCAGACATACGTAAGAATATGTCAAATTCTCCATTAATTCAGGACGGTCAATGTGGAAGAAATAAACTCGTCCTTTTTATATTTACACATAAACCAAAAGTGGCAAAACTTTTTATATTTACACATAAACCCAAAGTGGCAAAACTTTTTAATAATCAGGGTTATTCCTGGACCAAGGGGCTCTGGCTCCTAAAAAAGTCCATTTTTACTTTTATCTTTCACTCGATAATCAGGCTCATTGCTGTTAGCTCCCAGGATTTCTGCAGTTTGTTACTGATTTCAATCTAACTATTACCTCATGTTTCTTAAGCAGTACGAGAGCCGCATTGAGATCTTTGCCAATATTTGAAGACCGACAGACATCAATTTTTTCAAGGACCCATCTTTCTTCTTCTTCTGCATCCTGCAGGAACTGGTAGTATTTCTTGGCCACATCCAGACCTTTGTGTCGTACATTACTCATGTCATTCACCCTGTGTAAGTAATAAGTGGCATGTTTAGCATTTACACACTGTTATTATCTGCGTACAAACAGATAAAACATTGATGATAAGTGAATTTAACCAATATTGAGAATGACACTTCGACCTTTAATTCAGTTTCAGGCATTTTTAAAATTTATTGACAAATAGTAAACCTTTCATAGGCTTTGTTGACATCCCCAAGCCTCTGTTCTAATACAGTGCCCTCTGGATGAGAGGAGGAGGTGGAGCTCTTTGAGCGACGATTAAGATTTCGTATACGCTTGCCCAGAGCGTTGAGCTGTGTCTCAGCCAAGCTGTGCTGCTGAAGGTATTCCTCTACAGCCTGTAGGTGCTTTCCATACTCGTCTATCTTCACCTTGTTCTGAAATGTAACATCATACATGAATATTGTATGTTGTGGATAGCACTGAGAGCATATCTTATCACAGTACTTCCTGAGTGTAAGCACCAAGTACTTACAGTACTTCAAAATTACAATTCTTGGTCTTGCACCATTTTTGCAATCCAGTAAAACACAGTTTTATTACCTCTACTTCTTTTAGTTCCTCCTGGATACTTTCTATTTCTCTGAACATATTCATAAGGTTATTGAAGCCAGACAGTGTGAGTTTCCTCTTCTCCAGTTTGTCAAGGAGAGCTTGCCATTTCTTGGCAATCCTGTCATCTCTACAACAGACAGGATGAGCTGTAAGTTACTCCATTTGGAGTTATATTACTTCTGTAACAGTTTCACAATACATTCACCTTACACTGCCCCCTTGTTAAAAGGTTATCTACTTTCTTCATCCAGTTTGTGTAATATTTGTTTACATAATTGTTCATGACATTGTGTCAATGATAAAGATTAATGTATGTTATGATTACGTTCCATTTTTCATCAGTGGTGTTCATTTTTCTAGTTACAGTATGCCATACAAATCGAGTATCATTAGATAATTTACAGGTGATATTGGTGAATTATAAAGAGAAACTTCAGTAAAATGACATCTATATATCTTTCCATACTTCATTAATCACTTAAAATTTTCCTAATATTGAAAAACTATTTTACAACTTGTTTGATTGATGTCATATTGTAACAAAATCTAATATCCTTAAGTTGTGTAACTGTAAATTTAAAAAAAAAAAAAAATTAAAAGAAATAAATATCTTTTTCTATCTTTTAACATATTTTTAATTCTGCCAATTTAATGTAAGATTCTGATATCAATCTTTGACACAACAATGAAAAGCTGTATCTGTAACAATGTAATTATGTAACCTCACGTGATGTGACTAGTTGTCGTTCTGATCACTAGGGCTTGACAAGGACTCACGTTTTTTGGACTGCTCCTTTTGCATGGTAATTTCCCTGAACAAGTTCATCAGCTAATCCTCTCAACGCCTTAAATCTGTCTTTCTGTAAATAAAGTGAGTCAAAGAATGACTTCATGTTTTCCATATATCCCCGACATTCTCGTAACGGTCGTATTTCATCTTGTTTTCTAATATCTTGTCACACAATTCATTACTTCATCATTCATAATAAAACATTTTTTTTTGTTACAAGCATCTTGATTTTGTCAGCATCTTATACAGTCTACTACATGAGTTATCTACCCTTGCCAAGATTTCAGTATCTTGTGCAAACTATTAGAAGAGTTACCTACCCTTGCCAAGATTTCAGCACTGATGGCTTCATGTTTCTTTACTGCAGCCTCTACAGTGGCCACATCATCACACACAATCTTCTCATCTAAAATCTGACCCATGTCTTCCAGCCACGACTCTCGGATCTCACCCTGGAGAGACAAACTCAGATATGTACTGTTCCAGACATGAAAACTATTTAATTGTGGAAAAGGATTTATTTTGAAATAATTTGTTCAATACCATCTTTTAATCTGGGATACCAAAAACATAGGCAAACAGATTTTGAAAAATGGAAAAATATTTTACAAAATACTCACTTTTCTTCTGAATCGTTGAGCAAGCTGTTCAAGTCGCTCTTGCCTAAAAGGAAAAAGAAATAAAATTAGATTTCATGATGAAGAAATCATCTTCTTATTCCAAATTACATACACATTTTCTACAAGAATACTTTATGAACATACCTATTTCAGCAGTGATTACTAACCAGTTTTGTACTGAACGCACTATCCCAATGAGTTAGAATTTTGTGGTAAATGTTTAGAAGTGATTTCTAACCAGTTTTGTACTGAAGGCACTATCCCCATGAGTTCGACTTTTGTACTGAAGGCACTTTCCCAATGAGAATTGAGCTAAATGTGGTTATCTTTATTGCTTTGTCAAGCTTTTTTAATAAAATCCAATTTGCAAAATGTTAATTCCATTCTTCACATGCAGAAAAATATGAATCCCTATGACCAATTATAATGTGACGACGATGAAGAACATTTTCTACAATATTTGTCAAAATAACTGATCATTTGATAAATTGTTATAAGTTAATCTGCAGCAAACATGAAAATCATCCACCTATTCTGAAGACAGTACCTGATCATTTCGTCCCTGAGTGCCACTTCCCTGACATGTTCAGATTTATCCAGACAGATCCAGGCTGTTTCTATATCATGAATGAGTTGTCCCTCTGGTGGTGTGTACAAAATCTGACCATTAGCCTTCAGTTTGGCCTGTATGTTGAAGTACTGAGCTTCAATGTTTCCTTTCTCCCTCATCCTGTAAGTAATAAAATAAGTCTTGAAATTAAAAATAACCGATGATGGAATTGAAAGTTCGATGTAGATTTTAAATACAATTCAAGAAAATTCTGAAGTGTAACTATTTTATATAATGTATAACTGAAATTACCTTGGGTTTTTATTTTGTAAATATGAATAAGTTTAAACTAAACTAATCCAACCTATTCAGAAACACAAGAATATCATACTTGGGAGGTTTCTCCACTGTTCGATATTCCTTGAACTTAATCAGTTCTTTTTGTATTCCCTCCACTGAATTAGGGAAGTTGCGGTCATTGAGTTCCTCCACCTTCTGTACGATCCACTCAAGAAGGCGTGTGGTGAGTGTCTCATAGTCATCTACCATACGTTCTACATCCATCATCAGGCCAACGATCTGTAGTCAAAGGGAGACAACTCAGGGAAATAAATGTGTACTTCAAATCAGGCATATTCTATTAAAATAATGTTCAGGAAAATCTTTCTTGTAAGAAACAATTAAAATAAAATCAAATATCTATGTGTCTATTTTAATCAGATTGGGAAGAACATCTCTGTGAAACTCCCTTCCTGTCTAGATAGACATATGTTGCCTTATCCACTTACTGTCTAGATAGACATATGTTGCCTTATCCACTTACTGTCTCGATAGACATATTTTACCTTATCTACTTCCTGTCTAGAATGAGAGATTTTACCTTATCCACTTACTGTCTCGATAGACATATTTTACCTTATCTACTTCCTGTCTAGAATGAGAGATTTAACCTTATCCACTTACTGTCTAGAATGATATATTTTACCTTATCTACTTCCTGTCTAGAATGAGAGATTTTACCTTATCCACTTACTGTCTCGATAGACATATTTTACCTTATCTACTTCCTGTCTAGATAGACATATTTTACCTTATCCACTTACTGTCTAGAATGATATATTTTACCTTATCTACTTCCTGTCTAGAATGAGAGATTTTACCTTATCTACTTCCTGTCTAGAATGAGAGATTTAACCTTATCCACTTACTGTCTAGAATGATATATTTAACCTTATCCACTTACTGTCTAGAATGATATATTTTATCTTATCTACTTCCTGTCTAGAATGATATATTTTACCTTATCCACTTACTGTCTAGAATGATATATTTTCCCTTATCCACTTACTGTCTAGAATGATATATTTTACCTTATCCACTTACTGTCTAGAATGAGAGATTTTACCTTATCTACTTCCTGTCTAGAATGATATATTTTACCTTATCTACTTCCTGTCTAGAATGAGAGATTTTACCTTATCTACTTACTGTCTAGAATGATATATTTTACCTTATCTACTTCCTGTCTAGAATGATATATTTTACCTTATCCACTTACTGTCTAGAATGAGAGATTTTACCTTATCTACTTCCTGTCTAGAATGAGAGATTTTACCTTATCTACTTACTGTCTAGAATGATATATTTTACCTTATCTACTTCCTGTCTAGAATGATATATTTTACCTTATCTACTTCCTGTCTAGAATGATATATTTTACCTTATCCACTTACTATCTAGAAAGAGAGATTTTACCTTATCCACTTGCCGTCTAGAATGACAGATTCTACACTATCCCACTTCTCGACTAAAATGACAGATTTTACCTACCTTAGCAATCCGCTTTCCTCCAGTCATCTCACTCTTCATCTTTGCAAAATAATGGTAGTAGGAGGCAACGTAGGTGATGATGGATTTCTCATCGGGCCGGTTAACATCAACATCTAGATTACAATACAAAACTATTCTTATTATTTCTTAACCTTGTTTTCATAAAGAAAAAACTAACTTTAACCAACATCTAACTAGTATGTTTATAATAAAGAGCAATTTAATAAATAATTATGTTCCAGAATAAATATTGTTAATAGGAATTAAAAGTAATATCATTATCATTCTTTCCCTTTCCAGGTGTAACATTATGAAGGTTTAGTTACCACAAACACACTACAGCTTTTCCTTTTATGATAAATCACTCTGATCAGTAGCATGTTTATAATCATCCACATTGTAGGTCCTAAAAGACAGTATAAGTATCTACAGATATTGTTTAACCTTACCCTCAGCATCCAAGATGGGTGGAATACCAAGTTGGCTGTTGGCACATGTAAAGGCATTGTTGAGGTTTTCTATATGCTCGTCTGGGGCTAGTCTGTCATAATCTATCAGGTCAGGTCTACAAAAACAATAGCCATCTCAATCAATAATCCAAAACTTTTGTATATGTATGTACCAGTACTAGACTTCAACATCAGTTTTTGTTTAAATAATGGCTTCTTTAATATACAATATTACACAAACAGATTATATGAATGATGTCACAACCTTAATTCCTTTGTAGTTTGCTCAAAGCCTCTGCACCTTGCTCAACATTCTTGCATTTTTGTATAAAATAACAAGCAATACCTTCCGCAATGTTTTGAGATCTTTTCACAAAACACTACACACTTTATAGAGTAAAAACCACTAAAGTTTAACATATTCTTCAATATTTTTGCACTTTTATCAGCTTAATGTCCCATTGCAGGAAATCAAAGTGTTTTCTATAACAGCTGAACTGTAATTCTGACACTTAAAGCTAAATTTGGAGTAAACAATTTCCTTATATATTGATTTGATTTCTCTATGTTCTGATTACAGGATTCACCTTCTGATTACAGGATTCACCTTCTGATTACAGGATTCACCTTCTGATTACAGGATTCACCTATCTATAAACATGTGAAAGTGACTGCTCTACAAAGGTTAGGAAGTGACCTCTCTAAACAGGTCAGGTTTACTTTTAACATATCTGAACAAGTGTGAGAATCATAACTTGTATAAACTAGATGTACAGGTAAGGCTGACCTCTACATCTCTGCACAGGTATGAATGGCCTCTCTAAGTATGGAACAGGACAATCTCTGCAGGTATTGAAAATACTCTACACAGGTGACACTCTGCTGAGTGCACTGAAGCAAAGATATTTTTTCTTACCTGTGGGCATGAATAAGAGCATTGAATCCCAGGCCATTTCTCCAGCTGTTAGAGAAGTTTGTAATGTTGACACCAGGATATCTGCAATAAGAGAGGAAAGGGAGATAATCCATGCAGTACTATTACCACCTACTACATTCAACTTCACCAGTATACATGTTACCATTAGTTTTTTTCTTCTGTTTCTTCATCTTTGTCAAAGAAAGATCCTTTATCTTAAATCAGAATTCAAACCTTACTATCAGACTGATTAGTTATATAATAAACCAGAAGTAGTGTAATATTGTGTGCACACTTGCACTTACATTATGTCATTTTATAATGTATGATAAAGTAAATGTTATTTATGATGTAGTTCAAAAAAACATAATTTTATACTGTAATCAGGAGGGAGATAACAGTGCATGTGTGGTGAGGTATTCCTACTGTTCATCATGTATTAAAAAGCAGGTGCTTTTGGACATTGTGTAACAGATATTTTCTTTAAGTTTCATTAAATATGAATGGTGTCAAAGGTTTGCTAAGTATATTTATATATAGACAAGTGCTTTGGGGAGAGTGCTATTGTTTTCTCGCAAATATCATTGTCACCTGCTTTTACGATCTTTCCTGTAGGGAAATTAAAAGTGAATCATCAAAACCAGTGACATTTGCAATGTTGACATTTGTAGGGTTTTAGACCCATGCATCTCTGTGCCTGTAGCTTTTTATAGTACATTACGAATATAACACAATAGTAAGGCTTTAATTGTAACTTCTAGGTAAATTTACTATTTTATTGCTAAGCCAGCAAAATCCTTGCCAAGTTCCTACCATTAAGCCGTAGTAATTAACATCTGATGAAATAGTTACTGCCAGGTAGGATTTATTCATGAGAGACATCTATAAAAATAACCTTGCATTATCATTCTAACTTTGCAAAACACCTTGGCTTAGCCAGGTAAATCAATTTTACTGCTCATAACAAAACCTAGCAATAACCTCAGACAGTAGACAGTGATATAGACGTCACACGATGTGACTCACTGCCCATACTCAAGTAAATACAAGCTGATATTCAATATTTTAAAAATACAATCCAAATTCACAGAAAACCTGTTTCAAAAACATAAAGAAGATTCAATGAAACAGGACTATAACACTTTACACAGTAAATTACTGTGTGCTTTTTGTATTTTGAAATCCATATTTCTACAATCTGTTGCCTTCCATGTCTTTATACATAACCTCACTATTGGCTTTGTCAATAAATGACTTGATGATGATAAGTATTGACACTCCTCCCAGTCAAATCACATATCCTGGTGATGTTTTCTGCAAATCTATTCATTTCTCTTTCTGATGTCTTTAAACTACATGAACTTTTATAGAACACTCTAAAAGATCCCATTTTATTTACATCATAATAAACATATGTTATTCAGGAAATAATGAGATTGAGAATGAAGTTTGACCTTGAAGTGTCTCTCAGCAAACAAAACATATATAGATTGGTCTGCAACTAGAAGGACATATACTGGTATGCGATGTTACCAGTACACAATTATAGATTAGACGTTTAGGGGCATTATGAATATCTAACAGTATCAGGCCTAAAATTATCTACATCTGTTCAGTGAGATATATTATCAACAAAAATACTAGAAAGATTGCGGACAAAACTGATCAGCTTCTGTATGATTGTACATAGTACCACGGGAAAATCAAGCACTTATCCATAGCCTGAATTTTGAATTGGCAGAAACCAACAGACACATTACGCAATAATCTGAATAATTTAGTAGTAAACACAAACCTCACTCCCCTAGAATATCTTTAATAGGTACATAGCATACAGTGACATTCCTATCACCCTAGTGTATGCATCAGAAACTCAACTAAACCACAGGTGATGAATAATTTGTGAATTGTGTTGCCTACTGCTAAGAAGAATGCTTCAGTCTATAACAGGTTAGAAAGTCTCCATCTGCAATATCACACCATACAGTAACACCCTTCTCTCTACATACAGGGTAGTAATTCTCTAAATATCACACCATACAGTTAAACATTTCTCTATATATACAAGGTAGTCTTCACCGTACATGCATGCCAGTGATTTTTTAATCCACAATCTATTATACCATATCCTGAGTTTTGTGGGATAAAAACTTACCCCTGAGTTTTTCGTTGACACCATAACAGTAAGGCATCTTTAGCTGATCTTTTCTCCGAAGATTCTTCATCCTAAAGAGAATAATATCACACACATGAATATATATGTAGAGTTTTTTAGGCAATGTTAAGAAACAATAATAAAACTAAACAATATGGATATAACCTGTTTTGGAAGTAGATGATTGGGCTAAGAATACCACAAAACATCCATAATTTCATGAGCCTTAATAAATTTGTCAATTACTGGGGGCTTTATCTTATGGATTCATAATGATTCTGCAACTATTGGCTTCTGTCTGAAAGGGAGATAACCGCAAATCTTGGAGCTGATTTTAGCTTGAATTCAAAGTAACAAAAACCTATATTTGATAAGATGTTGTAGTATTCACCTGGATGTTTCTACATGTGAACATTGAGATATAGTATTAGAGATATGGAACAAATACATAAATTTAGGCAACATTCTATCTACTAATATGGGTGGAGCCATAAGAATCTCACCACTTCTATTTCAATCTCCTGGATCTGGAAGCGAAGGATTATAGTCCATATAAGGCCAAGGATGAGTCGAGGATTTCCATCTACAATATCTTCTGCTCCAATATTCTCAAAGTACACCTGCAATAGAAGACATTGATCACAGCTTCTATCATTTATAAGAAAATTGCACTGTTGTCTGACTTTTGAAAGAATATATAACCAGGTATCTTGTGGCTTTGATATAACAAACATACTGATCTATATAAATACATTAAGATCAAGCACTCATTAACATACAAGCAATATTTGTTTTTTAATGATTATGAGACATATTAAGTAAAGTGTGGTGATGATAATACCATCTGCTAATCAGAAACACCACAATATAACTTGATATTAAGATGTTCTTTACAACACGATACATGTACTGTTTTTATTGGAACATGACAAGCTGCAACTTTTTTAGTGGGGCTCTTTTCATGAAGTCAAATAAGGACCCCAATACCATTATCAATTTTCTTCCAAAATTAAATAAAAAGCCAATTTTTGCCAATGACTGGGAAAAAGCCCTGCAATAACTCCATCCATGCAAGAGAGTTTTCATCAATAAAGTTTTAAAATAGCCATTGTATCTTTATAGAGAACCTTTGTTCTAGATTGACACACACTACATCTAAAACCTGAAGATTTATACTAAAAAATTATCAAAGTTAGTAAAAGCATATCACAGATCAGAGCTCAAACAAATCGTAATGACATTCCAGAATGAACGCAATTCTAAATACTGTATCTCTTCCGCATCAATGCTTCCAATAAATCGCCCCACAGCTCTACAAATGAAATTCCTTATCGGAACAGAGTTCTAGTTATTCTTGTTTGGATGAGTGAACACCTCCCCGACAGGATGGACCTGTTGTTGAATATTTTCTACCCGTACATCAACATTAAGATTCACACCTCAACAGTATCACCTGTCACTTTTTACAGTGAATTTCAGTTTCATTCTAGCCCGTTAAAAAATCAGTGCACGTCCCAGGACAATGTAATTTTACCTTCAAAGTATTTTGAAGAAGTCATTAACACATCATATATTTTTCAACAGTATATTGTAGGGAATTCATAGGCCACATTATCTATGCCTTAGGGATATATTTATACAGTATAAAGTGTTTTCTTGGTCCAGTGAACAAACAAGATCAGCAGTTTTGATGTGTTCTTTACTAAAAGGTTTCTTGTCAACGGAACAAAAAAAATGATGATAGATTCACTGACCAATGGAATAGATATAACGAGACAGATTCGTCTTGAAATACAGCATCCATATCAGCCATACTTATTGGTTTCTGCCAACTTCCGTACTTTTATGAAAAGGAAATTGTTGGGAGTAATTTTGTTCTTTTAACATCCCACACTTGTCAGACAGGTTTGAATGGGCTGCTTTAATAACACAGCCTACAACAATATTTTCCTGTAATAAACCCACAGGGTCAACACATCAACTATAACTCTGACTCTGGGGGTACATGGGCTTATTATTGGACTACACGTCTGGGGGGTACAAGGGCTTATTATTGGACTACACGTCTGGGGGGTACAAGGGCTTATCATTGGACTACACGTCTGGGGGTACAAGGGCTTATCATTGGTCTACACGTCTGGGGGTACAAGGGCTTATCATTGGACTACACGTCTGGGGGTACAAGGGCTTATCATTGGACTACACATCTGGGGGTACAAGGGCTTATCATTGGACTACACGTCTGGGGGTACAAGGGCTTATCATTGGACTACACCTCTGGGGGTACAAGGGCTTATCATTGGACCACACGTCTGGGGGTACAAGGGCTTATTATTGCACTACACGTCTGGGGGGTACATGGGCTTATCATTGGACTCTGACTCTGGGGGTACAAGGGCTTATCATTGGACTACACATCTGGGGGTACAAGGGCTTATCATTGGACTACACGTCTGGGGGTACAAGGGCTTATCATTGGACTACATGTCTGGGGGTACATGGGCTTATCATTGGACTCTCAGTCTGGGGGGTACAAGGGCTTATTATTGGACTACACGTCTGGGGGTACAAGGGCTTATCATTGGACTACATGTCTGGGGGTACATGGGCTTATCATTGGACCCCGAGTCTGGGAGTATATGGGCTTATCATTGGACCCCGAGTCTGGGGGTACAAGGGCTTATTATTGGACTACACGTCTGGGGGTACATGGGCTTATCATTGGACCCCGAGTCTGGGAGTATATGGGCTTATCATTGGACCCCGAGTCTGGGGGTACATGGGCTTATCATTGGACTACATGTCTGGATGTATATGGGCTTATCATTGGACCCCGAGTCTGGGAGTATATGGGCTTATCATTGGACCCCGAGTCTGGGGGTACAAGGGCTTATTATTGGACTACACGTCTGGGGGTACAAGGGCTTATTATTTGAATACACGTCTGGGGGTACATGGGCTTATCATTGGACTACACGTCTGGGGGTACAAGGGCTTATTATTGGACTACACGTCTGGGGTTACAAGGGCTTATTATTGGACTACACGTCTGGGGGTACAAGGGCTTATTATTGAATTCTCAGTCTGGGGGGTACAACGGCTTATTATTGGACTACACGTCTAGGGGTACATGGGCTTATCATTGGATTCTCAGTCTGGGGGGTACAACGGCTTATTATTGGACTACACGTCTAGGGGTACATGGGCTTATCATTGGACTCTCAGTCTGGGGGTACAAGGGCTTATTATTGGACCCCGAGTCTGGGGGTACATGCGCTTATCATTGGACTCTCAGTCTGGGGGTACATGCGCTTATCATTGGACTCTCAGTCTGGGGGTACAAGGGCTTATTATTGGACCCCGAGTCTGGGGGTACATGGGCTTATCATTGGACTCTCAGTCTGGGGGTACAAGGGCTTATTATTGGACCCCGAGTCTGGGGGTACATGCGCTTATCATTGGACTCTCAGTCTGGGGGTACATGGACTTATCATTGGACCCCGAGTCTGGGGGTACATGGGCTTATCATTGGACTCTCAGTCTGGGGGTACAAGGGCTTATCATTGGACCCCGAGTCTGGGGGTACATGCGCTTATCATTGGACTCTCAGTCTGGGGATACATGGGCTTATCATTGGACCCCGAGTCTGGGGGTACATGGGCTTATCATTGGACTCTCAGTCTGGGGGGTACAACGGCTTATTATTGGACTACATGTCTGGAGGTATATGGGCTTATCATTGGACTCTCAGTCTGGGGGTTCAAGGGCTTATTATTGGACTACACGTCTGGAGGTATATGGGCTTATCATTGGACCCTGAGTCTGGGGGTACAAGGGCTTATTATTGGACTCTCAGTCTGGGGGGTACAAGGGTTTATTATTGGACCCTAAGTCTGGGGGTACATGGGCTTGTTATTGGACCCGGAGTCTGTGGGTACATGGGTTTATCATTGGACTACACGTCTGGGGGTACAAGGGTTTATTATTGGACCTTAAGTCTGGGGGTACATGGGCTTGTTATTGGACCCGGAGTCTGTGGGTACATGGGTTTATCATTGGACTACACGTCTGGGGGTACATGGGTTTATCATTGGACCTTAAGTCTGGGGGTACATGGGCTTGTTATTGGACCCGGAGTCTGTGGGTACATGGGTTTATCATTGGACTACACGTCTGGGGGTACATGGGTTTATCATTGGACCTTAAGTCTGGGGGTACATGGGCTTGTTATGGGACTATATGTCTTGGGGTACATGGGCTTATCATTGGACTATATGTCTGAGGATTACATGGGTTTATCATTGAACCCAGAGTCTAGGGTTACATGGGTTTATCATTGGACCCCGAGTCTGGGGGTACATGGGCTTGTTATTGGACCCCGGGTCTGGGGCTACATAGGCTATCATTGGACCCCAGGTCTGGGAGTTCATGGGTTTGTTATTGGCTTTATCACTTATTGCAACGTTATAAGCAGACATGTGCCATGTAAATTAAATACAGGGCTGTACAGTCATATCTTACCTTTGTAGCTAAAAATTTCAGACATCTACTGCAGTTTTCCACTTTCTGTACTCTCATTAACCCCTTGTTGGGTTTTCCAACTGTTTCTCCCGAAATGATCTCCAACAGTTTCATGAGAATCTTGCCATCTGCCAGATCTGTAAAGAGATCCTTGATTTCCAGTCTTGCCTGCAACAAAGAAGACAAACACATTAGAATTACTTCATCAACATTACAAATATCAAAACAACCCTTCAATTTTCAGTACATTGAGGTTTTTTCATGTTTTTTGTAATTGGGATACAAAGAAAGGTGTAGGTACCATATTTGCATACTAAAGTTATGGTAATTAATACTGAAATAAAATGTTAAATTTTGAATCAAACACATAATTACATATAATGGTGTGAAAAAAAAACAAAGACAGGATTATAGATGTCTGCTTACACAGATAGACTTAACACAAGTTGTACATTATAACGATATCAGACTTAACACAAGTTGTACATTATAACCATATCAGACTTAACACAAGTTGTACATTATAACCATATCAGACTTAACACAAGTTGTACATTATAACCATATCAGACTTAACACAAGATGTACATTATAACCATATCAGACTTAACACAAGTTGTACATTATAACCATATCAGACTTAACACAAGTTGTACATTATAACTATATCAGTCATATGTAAGAAGATAATACAGATATGGTACAGCCATGTGACTTGTTCCTGTACTACCATTACACAATATAATACTATATATATAATATGTAACAAAAGCAGCAGCTATTTTTGTGTTACTATTTTGATCAAATACACATTGACTATGCATGGATAGGGACTATAACAATCAGAAAGGGCAGAAAAAAGTAGTGCAAGACAACCTTTAAATCATGACAGCAAACTTATAATAATTCTTTGTTTTCATGAGACACTTTGATTCCAATTCAGCAGCTAATGATTTTGTAAATCTTTAACAGTGAACATTGAAGGGTTTCAAATCTCAAGAGTATATAAGGGTTTGGCGATACCTAAATACTTCTTACTTTTAATACCTTTTTTATAGAAAAATTTATTTCTCAAGCTAGAAAAGACAGGTGTGCTTAGATACAGATACCTTACACATGTTAAAGGACAGGTGTAAAAGTTCATACCTGTAATGTGTACTGGGTCCAGGTCAGTTATAATTATATACCAACTAGAATATCCTGACAAAGCATTTAATTGTAATAGCTTTTCAATTACAGATTTTTTACTAACAGACATCAAATTTTCATTATTTTCATAATTCTTTGTTTTTATATCAAATATTGGATTCAATCTAAATATGTGTAGACATCAGTATTGTTTATTACCAGAAGAAACTTGTCTTAAATGTATTTATTACAGGTCAATGTTATTTCTATTAACTTCTTAAATTATAATTGTAATATTTTATATCTAATCTTCACATGATAAAGAAAAAGAGTATGCAGTGTAACCTGTGTGTGGTTGATAGTTCCACATACATTGTACAAGTGTTCTGTTTACCTGGCTGTGCCTGTTAATTAGCTGACAGAACATCTAATGTATTACGAGTTATAGGTATTTCTTGCCCTGTCCGTCTATCTGTGATCAAGACAGATTACACGGAGGTGTTGACATGGCTCTATTTATCTTGTGCATTAAGACATGAGGCACATGTTCCCTAAGCAAAACCAACAACTTTTTTTGAGTCAGTGCAAATGTAACACATTGAATCCAAAGAGATTAAGATATCCAAATAAAATATTTTCACAGGCTATTTTTTTTTCAGAAACGTCACCTCAAGCAAGTTCACCTGGGTATACAGCCTTGTTTGGTAACAGTATAACCCTACTGTTAGTACAATCCTGGGAATTATCAGACCATAAACTGTGCCCTATCACTGAAAATGTGTAATTCAGTATAAGTGAGCATGGCATAGATTTTATCTGATTGAAGGTTTGGACTTAAATTTGTCCTCACCTGTATAAAGGTGTGGTATGTTACCAGGTATAAGATGTATTGTTGCTATTATCTCACATAATGGTCGGGGAGGTAACACAACAAAAACATTACACAGGACACTTTAATATCCTACTTAGGATTTACTGTGGTCTAAAATCCCACTAGTTTCTTACACATGTGTACAGAAATCAATTAACCTTTGGGCTCATGCATGTTTTACCACTGCTATTAGAAAGTCAACAAGAAAATGATACCAGTGACATACATATCTAAATGACTTAGAGCAAGCCATTTCGTTCCTCATATTTACCGTAGGCTGGAGTATATAGATATCATATTATTTCATTTGGGAAGATCAGATTATACCTCAGAAGTGTGTGACACTGAACATTTGAAAAAGAAAATTCATCCAAGCATGCTACAAGTGCCCTGAAAAATCATAATATTGTGTGCATTTTCATTATTCAGAACCTGGTAAAAGAATCATAAATTGAAAAAAAATTAAGGTTTGGCCCCTTTGACTCCGCAAGTGGGTCAAGGCCATTCATTTGAACAAAAATAACTTATAACCAACCCTTCATTAGAACACACTAAGTACTGATCAAATAACATCACCCTGAGCCTTTATTCAGAACAAGATATTTGTAACATAAAGTGTGTAATTCTTCTTCTTAGACCCCAACACCTTCAGTAACTAATAACTTCACAGAAAACCAAAGTGAAGACATTACACACATTATACATGTGTTTAAAATTACAATGACAAAATACCCATTGCTTGAACATGATGGATTCAAATAATGAATAGATAAATATTTATAGATATTAATATTTTAACATATTCTACTGTATACCTACATGTGTCACCATTGCTTAGCATGACGAATCTGTGAGGGGAAATCAATAGATGTCATGCATATTTCTTATACATCATATCTTACAGCTAAATCTCATTTAACACCTAGTCTGAAAACAAACATACTAAATTGTCAAAACCTGTATTTGTACCTTACTTGTGTCTTCAAATTTTGTAATGTTTTCCACAAGTTACTGTAATACCCGACCTGTACATATGTACTCAACATTTCTGACCCAGTATAAAGTAGCTGTGTTGAATACAAATAAGGAGAGTTGATCAAATGAACCCTGTGTGAACTAAGCTACATTGACCATATTGTCTTTCTTTCCTTACATCAATCAAGCGTATCTAAAACAATGTAATTAACACTAGTATTTTTATCACAGGTTACTGGTGTGTTCAACAACCTTACAAACATGTATACACATTGTACAGGCAGTCCTTTGATAGTCTTGTGATAACAGGTAAACAAAACATTTCTGCACGTAACATATTCCTAACAGATTAAGTGTGACAACAAAACACATCATCAAGATATTCTATTACATTTATAATTTTTTTATCTGTTGATACATGTGGAATATTGAATATTTCAAATTTTGACAGGTAACCCATTACAAATTTTGACAGGTAACCCGTTACGTTACACATTTTGACAGGTAACCCGTTACACATTTTGACAATAACCAAATACACATTTTGACAGGTAACCCGATACACATTTTGAAAACAAATCCACCTCCAATCATACGCATGTCTGAGTATTTGTTACAGGACATCAAACTGACACCCATTTCATAGATTCTCAGAGCATAGATTTGATCATTCATGCTATTTATCAACTTAAGCATATGCTACTGCTGTAACAACACAGAGGGGAAAAAAGGGCTGTAGGCAGGATCTAGGCCAGATATAAAACAAACTACATCACTACTACCATGACCATCATATATGATAAATACATCAGTGTAATTACATTGTAACTACAGTAGAGATGACAAGGTCATTGTCTGGGCTGTGTGTGTCTGCCCGAACAGTCTGCAACAGGCTTAAAATCTACTGCCTTAACATACCTATCCCTACTCTGTATCTATATTGTTGTGACATGCCCTTAATAGCGCTGTAACTGAATACCAGTTCAAAGTCATTAGCCTTAAGACAACTGAAGAATATTCTACTTTCAGAAAAGTCTTTATTTTTAGAAAAGCAGGTTTTTGTGAGCAACTGAATTTGGGACCTTTATGGGTAACATATGATAGAATCTCAAAATCTGCTGTCAAACCTTTAGGAGCTCGCCCTAACCAAGAGTGATAAATGGATTAACATCTCTCCTCAAATTATCCACCAGTTTATGAGTGCCATGTTGTTTACCTCCAAGCCATGTCATACTTGTTACTTAAGGTGTTCCCTTAGATACACACTGACCCAAATGTCCATTTGACTTGGAGAAAACCAACTGTGTGCAATGTTTTACAATTAAGCAAGACAGCAGTTTTATATCAATATCTTTATTCACACATGATGGCTAAAGATTTTTCTAACGGGAAAATCAAATAATCACCACTTCCAGTAGTGGTTTATTATATAACAGTCTAAACAAAAGCAGACAACCTTGCTCTGGACAGGTATGTTATATACGGTCTTATTACAAATACAGGTATGTAAAGGTGAGACTGATTCACTCTAAAACATGACCAAATAAGAATTATTGTAAAGTGATGGTCAAGATTTCTGGCACCAGTCAGACCAATAAAGAGTAAGCTGGTTGTTTGTTGCCTGGCTATGGGTTATTTCTGTTGGTCTACCTGGGACGGAAGACAGCAATCATCGAATCAATACCTTACCTGGCTACAGAATTATGTAGAAACGATAACTAGATATGCCAAGGGATCAAGTGTACAGGGCATGCGTACAACTCTGAATTCCACAGGGTAATCAATTTGATTGGCATAGGTACTTAGCTGATTGATTAGTTATATATTCCACAATGAAGCCTCAATGTGGCACATCAATAAACTTTCACTAATCTTACAATTATCATTTAAATCATATCAGCAACTTTAAATGCTTCATAAAAAGATTACATTCTGGTGAAACAAATTCAGCGACATACTTGCTAGAAATTGCAATTCTACAGGAAATACTTTATAGAGTATACAGGCGGACAGTTTATGCACCAACAAGACAATGAGATGACAGTGAGAAAAAGTGATTACATTTCTACAATGCTACTAGAGACTGTCTAAGGTTTGGGGGTGGGCTTATTGCAGAATGGTGAAATAACATTTGTTTGTAATTCTACTGTTGAGCAACAGATATAGGCCAATTTATCAACAGAAATGGTTTCAGCTAGCAGACAAGTATTTCTAAATTCTGATCTTGCCCATAAAAACACGTTCAAAATTTTGAATTTAAATCAAGGAAAATCTTACTTTGTTCAAAATTAATAACCTTGAAAACCGTTACAAGAAAAAAACTTGATGAACTCCTTTTCTGTGTTTATTATGTTCTCTAAGTTGTTCATTACAGCCTTCAATTGTCATTATACTCATATTTCCTTCCTGAATAAAAGAGACAAAAATTATCTAAAAACTTGAATGTATTTCCCGGTACAATGAAGTGTCCTCATTGTGAAAATGAAGTGAAAAGTGTTATAATAAGGCAGCAGTAGACAGGCGTTGACGAATGCATCAATTTCTCACTTAATAACTAATCATAATTCTAGTGTACCCTTAGCATTCTCTGTGTCTTATCACAATCCAGACATGCTGTACACCTGCAAGCTCATGTCGACATTCAAATATCCAGATATTTAGATACCTAATTCAGAATTCAAGGACTTATGGTTTCTTTTAAATCTGTTTGTAAAACTTGCAAGGAAGGCCTGAAAACATGGTCGGTGATTAAAACATAATGATACCTGTAGTCTGCATAATTTCACACCACGGCTTGAATACAATTTTAATCACAAATTATCACCAACTGCTTGACTGACTTTTAGCAAGATAGAACGGAAGGAGACAACTTTCAGTAGAAATTTCAGAGATAGATAGTAATATGACTCAGCATCTGTGATTGTCATCCAAACTTGAATAACGAAATAAAAATAAAGATGATTTTGTATCAAGATGCACAAAGTCTGATAAAATAAAATGGTTTCTGCTAGGGTGGTCTTCCATTCTTTTTTCTGTAATGAGTCTTCTTGTACTTGAAATTGCCTGGGAATATCTACAGGTGATACAGAGCCAGATCTAGGACAGAATCACTTTACCTCAGTGTCTGCAGGTAGCCATACAGGGTTTTGTACAGTTTTTGACTGCATATGTAGCTGCTAAATTGCAATCAGTGTACAAATGCTATGAAAAGCAAACAAGAAAAATACCCCAACTCTCACACAAAGTATTTTTTTGTAAACTTTCTATCAATAGTAATCATGACCTTGACCTTGGAATCCTGAAAAGTTAACTTTTTCTGAAGTATTATGGTTATTTATAAAGTTCAAAAATCTAACTAACAGTAAAATGAGGTTGATAGATTGACATCAGAACAAAAGAAAACGATAGGAAACATGAAGGACATGAATTAAATGCTTAATCTCCACAGTCACAGATTATCCCATAGAAAACACTGAAATCCCTACATTATACATGGTCTGATCAGTAAACCTTTGTCCTTGAACAAAAGAGGATACACAATTGTCACTTGTACGTATACTGATGGTGTCTAGCTTATACAGCCTGCAGGACATTATAAATTACATGTGCATGAGAATTATAAATGAAATCTGTATAACAGATTTAAATACTGAAACAATACACAAGAGCATGGCCATCCTACATATTCACATGTAGAAAACAGTAAACATCAAGCTGGCATTAAGTTAAAACTTCCAAGGCCACTTCAAATGTTATAGTCAAGTCTTGTCGAAAGTCTGATCAACTCCTATATAACATATTCAACACCTTAGATTTTTAATACAGTTTTCTACTGCCAAATAGGTTCATTTGTAAAACATGTCGCAAAACACAGACATCCTTTGTGACAAACTTGTGCTGGTACTTGACATACCTAAAACATCTACAGGTATCTTTTGGTATCTGTTATCCGTGTATAGGGCAGACAGAATTCAAAGGTCCCTTGTTTGCCGTTAATACCAGGCATCTGACAAGCTTAAAGGCGATACATGAGTCAGGTGCTAGATTTCTTAACAACCCGCTCTATGTTGCCTAACACTTGTTACCTTTGTAGACGATTTAAATGGAGCTTTCAGAGTAAATAAGTGAGGATATAAATGACATATGCCGTAGTGTAACCTAGTATATTTGTAGTGGAGCCTACACAGGAAAAATTCCTGAAGAAGATCATGTGAAACACAAGATCATTTCAGCAATTTACAGATAATGTACAAAATCCATACATTTGGGGCATTCATGTGAACTCAAAGAGAAAAGGAAATAATGTCAGGGGGTCAAGGTCATTATGTCACCATCCAGGATTATCTTTGAATATTGCACATGCTTTATAATTTTCTAAAAGGAATATTGATCTTATATATCTTTATCTACATTATAAACAGGACAACAGATATACCAGTATTTATCTACATTATAAACAGGACAACAGATATACCAGTATTTATCTACATTATAAACAGGACAACAGATATACCAGTATTTATCTACATTATAACCAGGACAACAGATGTACCAATATTTATCCACATTATAACCAGGACAACAGATGTACCAATATTTATCCACATTATAAACAGGACAACAGATGTACCAGTATCTATCTACATTATAAACAGGACAACAGATGTACCAGTATCTATCTACATTATAAACAGGACAACAGATGTACCAGTATCTATCTACATTATAAACAGGACAACAGATGTACCAGTATCTATCTACATTATAAACAGGACAACAGATGTACCAGTATCTATCTACATTATAAACAGGACAACAGATATACCAGTATCTATCTACATTATAACCAGGACAACAGATATACCAGTATTTATCTACATTATAAACAGGACAACAGATATACCAGTATTTATCTTCATTATAAACAGGACAACAGATATACCAGTATTTATCTACATTATAAACAGGACAACAGATATACCAGTATTTATCTACATTATAAACAGGACAACAGATATACCAGTATTTATCTTCATTATAAACAGGACAACAGATATACCAGTATTTATCTACATTATAAACAGGACAACAGATATACCAGTATTTATCTTCATTATAAACAGGACAACAGATATACCAGTATTTATCTTCATTATAAACAGGACAACAGATATACCAGTATTTATCTACATTATAAACAGGACAACAGATATACCAGTATTTATCCACATTATAAACAGGACAACAGATATACCAGTATTTATCTTCATTATAAACAGGACAACAGATATACCAGTATTTATCTACATTATAAACAGGACAACAGATATACCAGTATTTATCTTCATTATAAACAGGACAACAGATATACCAGTATTTATCTTCATTATAAACAGGACAACAGATATACCAGTATTTATCTACATTATAAACAGGACAACAGATATACCAGTATTTATCTCCATTACAACCAGGACAACAGATATACCAATATTTTATGCTATCTCACCAACAATGAGATGCCAAAGTGTTTTCTGTACCTGTCGTTTGTGTCTACATGAATAAATCACAAGAAACCAGTTGTTTCCACCTACTTGTTCATAATTATAGTGACCTTGACCTTCTGTCATACATGCATGTAGTACTTCACCGAGTACAATGACAATATGTAAATGAACTCACCTTTTCCAAAAAGGCATTGGCCCACTTTGTGAAAGTCTTTTTCTGTATATAGACTCTCTCATCCTGCAGGGCCTTTATACGCCCTTTTTCAAAGTTCTGAATGTCCATCGCCGATTTCCTGGTCTTGTAGGTCAACGAGGACAGCTATTCCATCTGGATTATAGAAAAAAATTTTATAAACAAATGTGTACAATGAAAAAATACTTCTGTTCCGAAGGAATATAATTTCATGGAGAATTTGCACTCATTGGTGATCAAACCAAAAACAAAATCAGTCTAGCTCTATAATTTTCACTCATTCTATGATCTGGTATTCCCACTGAATTTCTTCTGGGTAATGACCATTTTTTAGTTTTATATTTGTGTAAACAGCTGTACTTTTCATCAACCTATAGCAGAGTAACTACCCAAGGTCTAATGTGTTTTCCTAAATATGCCACAGAAAAGAAATTCATGCCCAAAATTGAATTTTTTTATATCAATACATCAGAAAAAACAGCATCAATAGTGCAGTTTTCTATAAGAAAACACTGAATTCTGAAACAATTAATTCCAACCACTAACTTTTTCTCTGTTTAGAACATTGCATGGTTAAAACTAACGAAGTATAATGGACACCAAGGATGTAATCAATCAAATTTCTGAGAGTACAGGTGTGTGTTTTGACATATATTTGTTTAAAAAGCATCCTGTCACGTATATTAATAAATAAAAACCTAGTCAGCCAATTCTATACATTTCTGCATGCTATATAGCAATTAAATCTGTCACTGAATAAACAAGAGATCCCAGAGGGATCTTGGCACCCACCATTTGAGGATCTGTTTTCAGTTCTTGAAGATTTGTTTATTTTTTTTGTTTGTTACAGGTGTTGTAAATGTTCATGAACTGGTCTTCATTGAATGTACTAAATGATGGCACAAGATATTTTTATTAAGCACCTATTAGCAAATATCATTTGAAAAAGATCCCAAAGTATTATTAGATAGCAGTCAGTTACAGGTGGATAATGGACAATATGCTTGTGCTGTATTACTGTCGACATCCAAGACGGCTGCCTGTGGGCCACCTTGATTTCAAAACAGTCCAAAAAAGGTACAATGCACAACTAGGGACCAAGGGAAACCAATATCTATGAAATATCAGAAGGATCCATCCAGTACTTCCTCGGATATAGCAGTAACAAGATTTTACTCTCAAAATCCAAGATGGCTGCCCGTCGGCCATCTTGAATTCAAATCAGTTCAAAAAAGGTACAATGCACAACTAGGGACCAAGGGGAACCTGCATATGAAATTTGAGAAAGATCCATCCAGTACTTTCCAAGAAATAGCAGTAACAAACTTTTACATTCAAAATCCAAGATGGCTGCCTGTCTGCCATCTTAAATTCGAATCAGTCCAAAAAAGGTACAATGCACAACTAGGGACCAAAGGGAAACTGCATATGAAATTTGAGAAAGATCCATCCAGTACTTTCCAAGAAATAGCAGTAACAAACTTTTACTTCCAAAATCCAAGATGGCTGCCTGTCGGCCATCTTGAATTCGAATCAGTTCAAAAAAGGTACAATGCACAACTAGGGACCAAGGGGAACCTGCATATGAAATTTGAGAAAGATCCATCCAGTACTTTCCAAGAAATAGCAGTAACAAACTTTTACATTCAAAATCCAAGATGGCTGCCTGTCTGCCATCTTGAATTCGAATCAGTCCAAAAAAGGTACAATGCACAACTAGGGACCAAGGGGAAACTGCATATGAAATTTGAGAACGATCCATCCAGTACTTATCCAGAAATAGCGGTAACAAACTTTTACTTCCAAAATCCAAGATGGCTACCTGTCGGCCATCTTGAATGCGAATCAGTTCAAAAATGGTACAATGCACAACTAGGGACCAAGGGGAACCTGTATATGAAATTTGAGAAAGATCCATCCCGTACTTTTCCAGAAATAGCGGTAACAAGAATTGTTTACGGACGGACGGACGGACCACGGACGCAGGGCGATTTGAATAACTTCCACTCTAGGATTTAGTCTACTGCAAGACCTACATACAAACTGTGCTCCTGTGAAGAGAGCTGACAGAGAAAGTGTCCAAAAATACATTAGTTTGAATATCAATGGCTTGCAATCATGTTAATTGGTTACCAAACTAGATAAATATGCAAATCATCCGATTTATCTCTGTTATTAATTTCTGACATTATGCAGTTAACGAACATATTCTGTCCTGAGAAATAGAAGGAATGAGCTAGTAACTAGGTGAAAACTGACTCAGCAGATCTGGACATGTTTATTGCTTGTCTATATATCCATCATTAATTTGTCACATTTAAAACACTCAGAACACTTCTTACAGACCCCACAATCTGAATGGCATGATGATAACACCCAACCCCACCTCTCCCCTTCCCCAATTTTTAGTTCTTTCCAGAACAATATATCATACATCTGTTCTGAATGAGGTGACCTTCAATCTTTGACCCCAAATCAATATTGTTATCCTTTGAAGTTAGCTTAGATTGTAGGCAATTTTCCTACCTAGTAAATACATCAGAGTCATTAGCTTAAAATAGTAACCAAGCACCTGCCCACCAAAGCACCTATTAACAGGTTTGTGGAATCAATAACTAACAAGTCTTGGCTATATCACAACTAATGCTTTTTGACCTCTGTGTTGACCTCTGAAGTATGACTCCAAGAATCAATAGGATCTGCAACTCTAACACATACACCCAGAGATAGAACAGTAAGTGTGATAGCTAACAGAAATAAAGGTTTTATACATCTCTCCATATACAACAAACCTTACATAATTTGATTTTAAACATACATAGTGTTCATATTTGGTAAAACTGAATTTTGTGGACTTGAAATTGAAAAGACCAATAATCTTTTAAGTTTGTCTTTTAAGCAACCTTAAATCGCATGGAGGTAAGCATGCTTAAAGGTTTTACAACAAATTCTAAGAAATGTTTCTGGGCGAAATATGAAAACATGACAACAGTACAGTATTCACGTTTGGCTATTCTGACCAAGTCATCTGTTGTATCTCTTCAATGCTAAAGAAGAATACTGTTTTATTGTTTTAATTATGGTAACTTCCCAAGACTTATTTGATTGTTTGGTATTCTTGACTTTTAGAGCAAACAGAGCTCGAGGTATGGATCGTTTCTTTTATACTTTAGCAAAAAGATGAAAAAGATGAAAAAGATCCCAAAGTATTATTAGATAGCAGTCAGTTACAGGTGGATAATGGACAATATGCTTGTGCTGTATTACTGTCGACATCCAAGATGGCTGCCTGTGGGCCACCTTGATTTCAAATCAGTCCAAAAAAGGTACAATGCACAACTAGGGACCAAGAGAAACCAATATCTATGAAATATCAGAAGGATCCATCCAGTACTTCCTCAGATATAGCAGTAACAAGATTTTACTCTCAAAATCCAAGATGGCTGCCTGTCAGCCATCTTGTTTTCGGATCAGTCCAAAAAGGTATAATGCACAACTTGGAACCAAAGGGAACCTGCATATGAAATTTGAGAAAGATCCATCCAGTACTTTCCAAGAAATAGCAGTAACAAACTTTTACATTCAAAATCCAAAATGGCCACCTGTCTGCCATCTTGAATTCGAATCAGTCCAAAAAAGGTACAATGCACAACTAGGGACCAAGGGGAAACTGCATATGAAATTTGAGAAAGATCCATCCAGTACTTTCCAAGAAATAGCAGTAACAAACTTTTACTTCCAAAATCCAAGATGGCTACCTGTCGGCCATCTTGAATTCGAATCAGTCCAAAAAAGGTACAATGCACAACTAGGGACCAAGGGGAACCTGCATATGAAATTTGAGAAAGATCCATCCAGTACTTTTCCAGAAATAGCGGTAACAAGAATTGTTTACGGACGGACGGACGCAGGGCGATTTGAATAACCCACCATCTATTAGATAGATGGTGGGCTACAAACTCACACATACCAATTAAAGGGAAGTAGTATGGGGTGGTTAGTGGGACGTGTTGTAAAATAAATACAGGTGAATAATAAAATTAGTTTGCGAATAAGAAAACTTTAAAAATCAATATGGCGTCACGGTGTCTGAAAAATGCTGCTGAAGTGGGGTTTTCAATAGCCCCACAGGGGCAAACTGAACCCAGGTCAGACAAAACGGGGATCACCGAAGCCCCACAGGGGCCAATCATACTGACCAGTCAGTGATCACCTGACTTAATTACCATACATACATTTACATATAAACTGAAACATCACGTACATAAAACCTAAGTATGTGTGAACCTTTATCGTACAAAAATATGTCTATAAATAGACATTTGCTTTATGTCCTGCTAAAGTATAAAAGAAATGATCCATACCTCGAGCTCTGTTTGCTCTAAATGGCAAGAAAAGAATATCCAACAATCAAATTGGCTGTAAAATCTTGGCATACCTTTTTTTAGAATAGGGAATCCCGTTTATTTTCAACCTAGTTTAATTAACATGTACATATAAAAATTTCATAATAACATATTTGGAGCAAAGGTGAGCGCCACCCACAATTCTAAAGAAGAATACTATTTTTTTGTTTTAATTATGGTAACTTCCCACTACTTAGTGCTGAATGACTAATGCAGAACAGAAAGAAATTTCATTTATCAGTATAATAAAATAATCTTCCGTATAAAACCAATGTTTAATTGTAGTATTTGTATATCTATAGTCTAGGAATGGCCATTAGATTTCCTTACAAGATTTATGCTATCCTGATTTGGTATGTCTAGATCTCTCACAGAATGATACACAAATTGTGGTTGAGGTAAGTCTTTTATATCGCAGCACACTAGGGTGATCACACCATTCACAATCTCCTTTTCTGCTTGAAATAAATGTACTGAAATTTCCCATCGTAATAGAAGCTTTGACGTAAAGTACGACATGCTGGTTATACATACCTGAATACATGACCCGTGAAAAGTTTCCTGGTGCACTAACTTTGTAATACTGTTGAGGATATGTTTTAATTCTATGGGAAGAGCAACACCAGTATATAGGTACTCCAGCATGAAGTTCTGACCCAGGCATGGAGCTTTTGAAAACTGAAC